GTCAGCAAAGAGGATTCGGATCATTTATTTGAGATGATAAGTATTCATAGATCTTCAGAGGGATAAAACCTCAGTATTCACCAGACTGATCATGTCGAACCATCACGGCTCTGGTCAGGCTTGCACCGCCCCTCGCTGTCTCTGCACCTGTCACAGAGTTGGCCTGTCTGTGGGCTTTAATAATCCACAATGCATCAAGGCTCACTTCCCTCTAATAAACATCTAGCTCTGGCTTAGAGAGTTCAAAAAATCTACCCTTCATACACCTCAAACTTTCATATTCATATTTTTTTCATGTTGTAAGTGTATACTGAAATGTTTTTATTGGACTTTTAGATGAAAAACCAACACAAAGTAGAGGATAACTCTGAATAAAAAAGAAAGTGCATATAAAAGGAAGTCAAAGTGAAAAGCATAACCCCAAATCAGTCTAATACGGCTAAATAAAGGCCAGTGCTTCAGACATGCCTTAAGAAAACAGGTAGTGAATAAAAGGAGTACATTTCTGTGTAATCTCTTGTATTTAACAAGTTAAGATCCAATAACATTTATTATCTTATTTACAAGTACAATGGAATCTCACTACAAAAGTCTGAGAGGTGTGATAGAAAACATCAGTGAACAAACAATAGCATAAAGACAAAGAGCCTAGCAGCCAGGTCAGAAAGAGGGATTTGGAGAAGTTTAAAGCAGGGTTAGTTTGTAAAACAATTTCTCAAGCTGTGGAAATCTCACAGCTGTCTGTGAAACTAAACAATCAGATGCTTTGGTTTCTGTTGGCTACAAATCCTGTAGGGAACATATGGAAAAAAATAGGCCGGATTCAGTGATCATGTGAGGAGAAAACAAGGTTGACCTGCCATCAAGTCATCAAACTCAAAACATAAAGCCGGGGCTATACTGTGCTAGAATGGCCTAGTCAAAGTAAAGTTTGTGACTGAAAGAGATGTGCTGCTATGGAGCTAAATCAGTGACAGCTTGCTTTGACATCGAATAGGAAATTTGGCATTGAAAAATCAAAGACTGAAAATTTTACATTTCCTCTAAATAAGTAAAAAACTATAATGATACTGTCATTGTTAGCTGCAGCCTTTTTTAAATGAGAGATGATCTCATTGCCACTGGAGAGTTCCTTCAAGCTGACACTGTATTTTTAGAGGGAAATTTACATTTTCAATGTTCCACTTTCCAGTGTACAATGTTTGAATTCTTAGTGTTTGTATTTTCAATGTGTTGATTTTTAAATATTTCAATTTAGAGCTTGACTTTTCAATGCTTTAAAGGCCAGATTTCACAATCGAATTAGCTCCATACAAGTCAATTCAATTTCAATTCAGTTTATTTACAAACCGGATTCCAAAAAAATTGGGACACTATACAAATTGTGAATTAAAACTGAATGCAATGATGTGGAGGTGTCAAAAACAAATATTTTATTCAGAATAGAACACAAATCGCAAATCAAAATTTTAAATTGAGAGAATGTATCATTTTAAGATAAAAATATGTTATTTCCAAATTTCATGGCGTCAACAAATTCCAAAAAAGTTGGGACAAGGCCATTTTTACCACTCTGTGGCATCCCCCCTTCTTCTAACAACACTCAACAGATTTCTGGAGACAAAGGAGACCAGTTTCTCAAGTTTAGAAATAGGAATGCTCTCACATTCATGTCTAATACAGGCCTCTAACCGTTTAATCATCTTGGGCCTTCTTTGTTGCACCTTCCTCTTTATGATGCCCCAAATGTTGCCTTTCCAGACATGCAAGCTGCCCATGCCACAAGCACTCATGCAACCCCATACCATCAGTGATGCAGGTTTCTGAACGGAGCGTTGATAACAGCTTGGGTTATCCTTGTCCTCTCTGGTCTGGATGACACGGCGTCCCTGTGTTCCATAAAGAACTTCAAATCGTGACTCATCTGACCACAGAACAGTCTTCCATTTTGCCTCACTCCATTTTAAATGATCCCTGGCCCAGTGCAAATGGCTGAGCTTGTGGAGCTTGCTTAGAAATGGCTTCCTCTTTGTACTGTAGAGTTTCAGCTGGCAACAGCAGAAGGCACGGCGGATTGTGTTCACTGACAATGCTTTCTGGAAGTATTCCTGAGCCCATTCTGTTATTTCCTTAACAGTAGCATTCCTGTTTGAGGTGCAGCGGTGTTTAAGGGCCCGGAGATCACGAGCATCCAGTAAAGTTTTACGGCCTTGACCCTTACGCACAGCGATTGGTCCAGATTCTCTGAATCTTTTGATGATGTTATGCACGGTTGATAATGATAACTTAAAAGTCTTTGCTATTTTACGCTGGGCAACACCATTCTGGTATTGCTGCACTATCTTTCTGCGCAACAATGGTGGAATACGTGATCCTTTTACCATCTTGGCTCCAGAGAGACACTGACACTCTGAGAGGATCTTTTTATACCCAATCCTGTTGTCAATTGACCTAATTAGTGTTAGTTGGTCTTCCAGCTGTTCGTTATATGCTCAATATCCTTTTCCCAGCCACTTATTGCTACTTGTCCCAACTTTTTTGGGATCTGTAGACACTGTTACATTTTGAATCAACATATTTTTCCTTTAAAATGTTACATTTACTCAGATTAAACTTTTGAGCTGTCATCTATGTTCTATTACGAATAAAATATAGACATTTGCCATCTTCACACCATTGCATTCAGTTTTTATTCACAATTTGTTTAGTGTCCCAACTTTTTTGGAATCCGGTTTGTATATAGCGCCAATTTCACAACACATGCCATCTCAAGGCACTTTAGAGAAACAATTCGATCAGATCATACAGGCAAATGTTAGAAAGTTTTCTATCTAAAGGAAACCAGCTGACTGCATCGACTTAATGGCTCAAAGGCAATCCCTGACACCAAACATGCTTGTAGCGACAGTGGAGAGAAAAACTCCCTTTTAACAGGAAGAAACCTCCAGCAGAACCAGGCTCAGAGTGAGCAGCCATTTGCTGAGGCTGACTGGGGTTCAAGGAGACAGAAGCAGAGATGTTTCTAGTGTTTTTTTTGGGGGGTTAATGTATTTATTAAAATTATTTTGATTTGGAGTTGTAAAAACCCCTAAAGTAGGAGAGATTTTACCCTATTTTCTCCACTGTCACATTCCATAGAGCATCAACAAAACTCAAACAATGAGTAATGCAGGTATTGTTTTAATGGTAGAGCTAAAAGCCACACAGTATTAATGTAAGTGGCACCCTGAAGAAGCTTTTTTGAAAATTGAACATTTCCAAAACGCAGTATTTTTTTTCCAATGTTTTGACTAGAGTGAAATGCAGTCAAAGCCACACAGTTCCCCAGAGAAAGACTACAGAACAGCTGTAGATATTTTGAACTGTTAGCAATAAATAAACACCACAATAAATACCAATAAACAATAAATACCACAAAATGTTCACCAGATATTCAGATTTGCTAGAGCTATGCCTAAGAAGACCTGCCGCTGCCATGGTAGTGAATGATTAAATCCTGACTGACAGAATAAATATATTTAGAAAAAAGAAAGGCATCTATATTACTCCCACTTTACGATGATTGGTTTCTTTGTGTTGGTTTATAACTAGTGTTGCACCTATGCCATTTTTTGGCCCGATTACCCTATCTCTGTGTGTGTAGTTTTGGCTGTTCCCACACTATCGATATCTTCTGTTTTTGATTTTTGTGTGTGGATATATGAAGAACTTCATACTACTTGGATGTAAAATAATTGCCATTATGGCTTTGTCAAGCTGCTGCCTACCGTTGTGAAGCAGGAAAAAGACTAATAGAAAGTGAATGCAGTAGAACTTTTTATTGCCTACGGGTGACTATAGTTAAATAACTTTTTGCTCTGAAAAGGGTATCAGTGCTTTATTTGTTGGTACTCGCCGATACTGATACCACCATTTTAGTGCTTGATCAGGCACCCTGCCCGATACTGGTATCGGTATCGGTGCAACACTATCTATGACATAAGGCCTCAGTGCTGAAGATAGTGGTGATGAGGTGAAAAAGCTCTAGACATATGGACACTTTTAAAGGCGCTGTGCATGTTCTAAACAGCTGCTTCAAAATTTCAATATTTCATTTAAATGTTAAAGCCCTCCTTTGATGCTATATATGATAAATACCCAAATTCTGACAGAGGATATTTATTTGCATGCAATGGCCATATGAAAATCCAGATATCAAAGACGCAGACATGTATGCCTGGGAGGAGGAGGAGGAAACAAACTCAAAGATAGACAGAACTCTACTGTAAACTCTGCTATACAGTAAATGCAGTGATCAGGCAGGTAGAACAATGCTTCCATTCATGATGACGCCTCTGTTAAAGTAACAGCCAGTGATCAGACAGCATGTTGTGCACCCTGTTTATTTCTAGCACTTGATTGAAGAGAATTTGTTTTATAAGTGGAACTAGGTTTGAGGTTTGATTCATTTTTTTTTTTTGACAAAATAATTTAGAAATTAAAACACCTTGAAGAGTCAGTGTACTTTCTGCTTCGTCTCAATCAATGAAATGTGATCACTTAACAAAGAGGTGGACATTAGTCATCTATACGGCCCCTTCCACTAACCTTTTAACAACAGGCCAATCTAAATGCACATCTTTATGCAGGTGGAAGCAAACAGGAGCAGAAAATATTAAATTAGGAGATGATTGGTTAAATACTGGGAATTAGTTCCATTATTTCAAGTATATAAAAAAGAATAAACGGTATATAAATAAGACTAAAACTCATCTGGCTCTGATCTGACATTTTTATTATATTAAATTTAATTTTCAAAGGTGTACTTACAGACTATAAAAACAGATTCAGTTTTAATTCCAAACATAGGTTAAAAATAACATTTAAATAAATATAAATAATATAGACTTACAGTTTTAAAAGAAGCAGCTACATATAATTAAATATCAGTTAATTGAATTTATTTTTTCCCCCCAGTAATTATTTCCTTACTACAGCTGATAACCTGGTTGCCATCTCACCGTTGTTGCAGTACTGTAGCAGCAGGTTGGTGCTGTCACACAGGTTCCCGCACGAAGCGATCCTCTCAGACATCCTTCTCCTCCTCTCTCCTCCTCCTCCTCTCCTTCCCTCAGCTCCTCCGGCTCTGGGCAGACTCCCCCTTCCTCCCTTCGCTTCTCTCCTTCTTGTCTTCACGCCCTCAGCCTTTGCTGTCTCCTCCACATTCATAAACAGCCAGTCACACCTTCCACCTGTCTCAGCTGCTTCTCCCGCTCCAGCTTCACATCCTCAGCGTCAAGCGCACATTTTATGACAAACAGGTTTCCCTTTTCAAGCTTTCAAATTAAAAGCCTCTCTACTTACCCTGGTTCTTTCCAGGGGCAATGTCTATTTTTAATATGTCTCTGGGATCATTGTCCTGTTAAAGTTTGACCATTAAACATTACAAAAAGGAAGGAAAATGATCCTGTTAAAACACACAAATATTTATTTGACAGGACAGGAGGCTTCCAACAATTTTGATAACATAACTTTCTAAAATTTAAAAGCATCACCAGAACTTCTTTAGATCTATTTTGCATTAAGACCAGATTATGCCTTATTTCTTTTGTCATTTTCCTGCATCTTTTCCAGTTTGACCCATTTGTATCAGTGGTTTGAGCTGATTATTTTGTAATTTACAGATATTTAGATAAATATAAAAAAAACCGTTTTGAATATTGTAAATGCATAATCCCCCTTCATACTGTAGATATGCACTATTTTTTGGACTCCCCCATTCATTTAACCCTTGAACATTCAGTCCTGTATGGAAGAGGATTAGGGCCACTGAAAAAATTAAAAAAGTTAACTGATTTTTAAAGATTATTTCAGTTTAATATGGAAAACAAGTCAGAATTTTTGCTTTAATCTCAGAATTCTGACTTTTTTCTCAGAATACTGACTTTTTTCCCAGAATTCTGACTTAAATCTCAGAATTTTGGATCTTAATGTAGATGGGCACCATGAAAGAAGAGATGTGGGAGCACTCAGCTGAGTTGTTTGGGACACATTGGTGGAAAATGACGGAATTAGGTACATTTTTACATGAGGGGTCCCCGGTGATGATATTTCATTAATGGAAGAGCAGAAGGTGATTAAAACAAGAGAGCTAGTTTACTGTAGTCTCTAAAACAGACATGGCTATGGCTTGATGCTAACATGTTTGTTAGCTGTCAGAATTCAGTCAGAATTCTGAGATTAAAGTCAGAATTCTCAGGCTGCTTTGGTCAAAGTTCAGCAAGACCTAGAGAACCAAAGACAGTTCTGGATCCAGGAAAAATCCAGGCTCCTGACAGAGCAGCAGAAAACTGTGAGAAATACAGAAGCAGCAATGAAGATGTTCAAGAGGTACTGCACCATAAGAGGCAGCAGAGGCAAACAGAGAAGTCCTGCCTTCTAGAGAGCCTCACATCAACAGAAGAGGCTCTAAAAGAGATGGAGGAGGAGAGGAAAACATCAACAGAGAGCCTGATGGAAGAACAGAAACATCTGCAACACGTGTCCAAATATGGACACGCTTCAACTATGAGAGCCAGAAGGCGTTTTTCCTGCAATGCTTTCTCCAAGAACCTTCTAATGGACCCTGGCCGTTCCTTGTGTTTGTTCCCAAGAGGTGAGACGGGACCTGACTGTTTGTTCACATCATTAAACTCACTCCAACGTCAGAGAAAGTTTAGGATATTCACAATTGTTTGACTGAAAGACAGAAGTCTCCAGAAGCAGAAGGACCCACCTCCCCACAGCAACAGTAACATCTCCATGGGATGGTTTTGGTTTTTATCTCTGCCTCAGAACACAACGATCACTTTGAATGAAGAATGTCCCCCCAATTTCCCACTGAAGGCTGGAAGCAGATGCCAACCATTTAATCAAGAATGCATAGAAATCTATAAATGTATTTTATTCCTTGTACCGTTCAATAATAATAATAATAAAAAAACATAATAATCCTGCCTCCAGGATCCATTGCTCTGTGTGCTCCTGGTGTTGGTCCCAAGCCCAGATCAAAGGAGAGGGTTATGTCTAGAACAGAATGACTACCCCTTGGTCAAATGTGTTGATTATTTTCCACAAATAGAAAATAAAAGTGATTTAAAAAATCAAAAATATTTATTTAATTTTCCTACCTTGAACATTTCATGCTCAGACATTTCATTATTTTCAGTTATAATAGAAAAAAAAACATAAATATGTTGCCTGCAAATTGAATAAGTAGTGAAATCCCTACAGTGCAAAACCCAGCCCTATTTTATTCTATTTCTTTATCTGGGAAGTAAATTATTAGCTGTTTTCAGGTACCTCCTGCAATGCATTGGCGGACCACTAGGGGTACTAGTGCCCCTGGTTGGGAATCACTGAGCTACACTGTAGCCACTGCTGCTCTGGGGCAGACTGACACAAATCAGCTGCTGGCAAAGGTCAGTGAACCCAATGATAGAGCCAAACAGAGCGGGGGCCAGAGATGGTGGATCTGGATTGGGACTCTAGAGGCAACTAGAGGAAGAAGCCTTACCTCCTGAGCCGCCATCATCCCTAGAGAGCATTAACTCCATAGGATTCAATAGAATAAACCTGTGGTGTCAAACTCCAGTCCAGGACGGCTGGTTTTCAGCAACCTTTAGTTGCATCTTTCCTTCTCACCTGCCTCCATTGGCTGAATTATCATTGAAGCCAAGTTCTGCAGAGTCCTGCTAATGACCCGATTATTGGACTCAGAGTCACATCTAAAAGGAGCAACACAGCTGCCCTTAAGGACTGGACTTTATTGGGCTAAATCAACACTTTTTAGCTTCCAACTTAAATTAAATAGTTTTCCTTCATCCAAATCTGACCCAGGGTGGTTTTTGTCTTGATCCAGAGTATCCCTCATGTTTTGCTGCAGCAGCCCCTCCCTGTCCTGGGAAAAAGAGTGACCCTCACCATCATAGTACTGTGATAGCTTCACAGTCCACCCCCTCCAATAGGAACCTACCTTTAACATGCTGCGCCTGCCCAGTTAAAAATCAGGTAGTTATTAATCCTCTTCCGTAGTCCTGTTAAAAAAAAAAAAAAACAAGAAAAAAATCCCTTCACTGCTGACAAATCATACTCTCTAATCAGACACCATTGGGTCAATTTAAAATACACAATATAAACGTTTGTTAAAATAGCTGGTTTCTTGTATCCATTTAAGTTGTATGTATAATTCTGACCCTATATGTAAGCCTTTAGGGATATACACCAAATTTCAGGTTTCTTTTTAAAAGTCTTTTATTTTCTATGTTGTAAAGTTTTACAACTACATTTTAGGGGGTATTTATATTTGATTGTGATCTATTTTGCTTCTGATATAATGATTCACACGTGAACTCTATCTTAAAATAATGCATTTGGTAGCATTTTATTTTAAACTCATTTCTGCTTTCACAAATTCATTATTACTTGTTTTTCTTTATGCTGAAAATCAAGGCCAGTTCTATTTCCTTGGTTAACCATGGGAAACTTACGGAAATGCCTTCCTCTATCTACTCTCCATGTCTCTGTTCCTATAGCAACAACTTCACAGCCAGCTCAGCTCTAAGACCATTGAGAGCAGACCTTTAGGCTGAAGCTGTACGTCCAAATTACGTATTACACCACAGCGTGAGGACTCAGTCTCCCAGAACAGAAACCTGATATTGGGGCTGCGGTTGTGTTTCTTAATAATTCACGGAGGAGTATTATCCATCACAAAGCTTTTAAACAATATCAGTAGGATTTCATCATTTGAATTTTGAGGGTTTTTTTTTTTTAACGTTATAGTTTGTCGTTTTATTGCAGACACATTGGCAATATTATTATAAAATAACATATAGTGATATAATATAATGATAATACTACACATACAAAAAATAAAAAAGCAAGAAATATACATTAATAAAAAATACCCTTTTAGGGGGCAGCCAAAGTGCACTAACATGGTATTAATATGGGGTTAGAAACATAAGGATTGATGCATTCCATCAATAACTAAACTTAAATAAATCAGTCATCAGTGAGCTGACATACAGTAGAATCCACTGGCTCCTAACCATGTGGGCTTTTTTAGCAGGAGAGTCAGGCATCATTATAAGCCACTTGTAATCCATGAAGCCTTGCTTTTTCATTATTTTTGTAACATTCATATATTATGTGAAAACATATGTACATATTTGCAGATAGGCTATCAAGATTCCTGTATTCTCCAATCTGACCACTGGAGGCCAGTAGACACTCATTGAGTTATGACAGTGGTCAGACCGTATAAACCAATTTTAATAAAATAATTGAATTCCATCTATAATGTTGAGCTCCATACTGCAATGATCTCCTCTGTCAAACATAAAGGCTTTTTTGTGGAGAATTTTAGGAACATAGAGTGATGATATTTTAAAAATGAAACTCAACACCAATACCAAAGCGCCACTCCTCCATCTCTGTGCCCCTTATAATCATTCAAAAAAAAAATAATAATAATAATAATAATATTAAAAACAATCCACTAGACTTTAATTCCAAGTTTTGAAACATATCGCTTCCCATCTAGGAAGATTTTTCAATTCAAAATGTCAGGAATACCGTTAAGTTTGAGGTTTTATACAGTAGCTGTCAAGGTTTGGTTGAGGACCCAAATGCAGAGGCTGAGAGGCAGAGGTGAGTTCTTGC